GCTGCCGGGCGCGCTGCTGCCGCTGTGTGCGGACAGCGCGGCCATGGTAGGCCCTTGCCGGCCGTCTGGCAAATACTCCCGACCAAATCAACCTCAAACAACATGATATAACCATGATTACTGAATTAACCTGAAATCATGAAATTTGGACGATAAACTGAATATGGCCGTGGCGAGCGCACCGTGCGCCGCCAACGGCGTTAGGCCGTCATTCGACCAACTTAGCTTTTCTCTCGGCAATTCATGCTCAGCTGAGCATGATATAAAATTTACTGAATAAATGAACATGAAATGTTCGAAGGTTTGCAACTCAACCCGATCGAAACCAGGCGTGGCCTGTGGTATGCGCTACTTGCACGACCACGCTTCTCGGCCAAAGATCAATGACAAAACATGAAATTCCTTCGAACAACATAAACTTATTGATCATGTTACAGCATGAACTGACTAAATATACTAGGTTGCTCGAGAGATTTTTGAATTAAAACATTAACATGCTTTTCATGGTTATACGCACGGCCGCAAGCAACACATGGCTAGAACATGAACTTGTACTTATGTTTATACTGAAAATAAACATGATACTACCAACATCACAAGATGTGTGCATGAAGTTACCTCTCCGCTTGCTCGGCAAACCTCCGCTAAGTGCGGTGTTCGTGCGTGCGTACGGTATCCGACTTTTCGTGCGAGGTGCGTAGAACTACAAGCAATCACTCACTTATCTCCTTGCTGAACTAATGAACTATGAGATAGAAATATAGGCTGAAAGTGTGGGGAAAAATTCATCCCAACTCCTCCTTAAATATGATGGCCGAGAGAAAAGAATGAGAGTGATGAGGTGGTGTGGTGTTTAAGCCAAACTAATGACACTTGTAAGCTCAAGAAGCCCATCAAATGCTAACTCATCCTATAAAAAGATTAATCATCTTCAAAAGTCCCCTAATGATGCCACGTGCATGGGTTTAAGGGAGAAGAAATGATTTTTTTTTCCCACTTGAAAATTTAGCTATGGCATTAAAATGAATTTGGCAAATTCCGCACGGCTAATCAATATTATCATGTGATTAATACTTAATTAATCACTTAATTATACTTAATTAACTTTTAAGCATAATACTTAATTACCAAAATTATTCCGGGCGTAAACGGTACGTGGAAAATAATTTCTGGTAATCTTATCTGAAAATAAATAATTCCGAAAATTAATACTCGACAATATTAATATATCAGAATTAAAAACATGATTTATACTGATAAACTGACGGGATATTACAATCCTCCCTCCTTAAAAATTTCCGTCCTCAGAAATTCAAAACATAACTGAATATACATGAACTATGTACATAGGATAAGAAAATATGTACATCAAAACTGAAAATCTGGAAAACGAGCGCGAATATCGGACTCCGCCTCCCAAGTAGCTCCGTGGCGATCCCACTGAATACGCACGAGGGGAACATCTTGCTTCTGGAGCCGACGAACCTGATGGTCTAGTAGAGCTACCGGTCGCTCTTCGTATGAATGATCTGGCTGAACCTGAATATCTGAATGAGGAATAACAAGATCGGGGTCGCACACGTACTTACGCAACATAGATGCGTAAAAAACATTATGAATGCCTGATAACTCGGGAGGTAGGGCTAATCGATACGCGACCTCGCCTACTCGCTTGAGAACGTCGAACGGACCGATGAATCGAGGGTGCAACTTCCCTCTCTTTGAGAATCGAACAACTCCGCGAATTGGACGAACTCTGAGAAAAGCTGGCTCGCCAACCTCGAACTGAATATCTCGTCGATGATGATCGGCTGAAGATTTCTGTCGACTCTAAGCTGTCTTGAGTCTCTGCCGGATAAACTCGACCTGGTCTGCTGTCTCCTCGATCAACTTGGGACCGAGTATTCGTCGCTCTCCGACGTCGTCCCAATAAAGAGGGGAACGACACTTGCGACCGTAAAGTGCCTCGTAAGGAGCCATCTGAATAGAAGAATGATAGCTGTTGTTGTACGCGAACTCGGCATACGGCAACAACGACTCCCACTTAGCACCCCTGTCAACAACCAAAGCGCGAAGCATATCCTCAAGCGTCTGAATAGTCCGCTCTGACTGACCGTCTGTCTCCGGATGATAGGCTGAACTGAACTCTAACTTCGTGCCCATCGCCTCGTGTAAACTGTGCCAGAATCTGCTGACGAATCTGGGATCTCTGTCTGATACGATAGTCATGGGCACTCCGTGGAGTCGAATGATCCCACGGGTATATATCTCAGCCAACTTATCCAAAGACATCTTCATCAAAACGGGTAACAAATGCGCGACCTTAGTCAATCTGTCGACCACGACCCATATAGCGTTGTGATGTTCAGACGACCTCGGTAATCCCGTAACGAAATCCATCGTGACTTCCTCCCACTTCCACCTCGGAATCGGCAGTGGCTGCAGGAGGCCGATCGGACTCTGATGTTCGGCTTTGACTTGTTGACAGGTAAAACACCTCCTGACAAACTCGACGACGTCCTTCTTCATGCCTCGCCACCAGAACGACCCTTTCAGGTCGTGATACACCTTCGTGCTCCCGGGATGGGATAGATAGGGTGCGGTATGAGCCTCTGATAAAATCTCCTTCCGCAACGCCTCGACTTTCGGGACCACGATCATGCCTCTGAACTCTAGGGCGCCATCGGTACCTAGCTGAAAACCCTCGACGCCTCCAGCGCGAACCTTGGCCTCCATGACATGAACAAACTCGTCAGTAGCCTGCTCTCGCCGGATTCTCTCTCTCAGTGTCGGCTGAATCTGCATGTCATTGACACTGGCACTGACACTCCCTGAAATGACTGTGGGAAGTGCATCGATCGCCTGAAGCTGCATCCGGGAAAACTCCTGAATCAACGGACTCTGCTGAGTATGACGTACGTCAAGTCACCCCTCACCTTTCGGCTTAGCGCGTCAGCAACGACGTTCGCCTTCCCCGGATGATACAGAATAGAGCAATAGTAATCCTTGACGAGCTCTAGCCAACGGCGCTGTCTCATGTTGAGCTCCTTCTGAGTAAAAATATACTGCAAGCTCTTATGATCTGTGAAAATCTCACAATGACCGCCGTAAAGATAGTGTCGCCAAATCTTGAGAGCATGAACGACTGCGGCTAACTCCAAGTCGTGCGTTGGATAATTCTACTCATGCGGCTTAAGCTGACGTGAAGCATACGCGACGACCTGGCCATCCTGCATAAGGACACATCCCAAGCCCTGTCTCGAAGCATCGCTGAAGATGGTGAAACTCCAAGAAGGATCGGAAATAGTCAACACTGGTGCTGAAGTTAACCTCCTCTTGAGCTCCTGAAAGCTCGACTCACAACGGTCAGTCCAATCGAACCTCACAGACTTCCTCGTTAGCTGGGATAGAGGGAGGGCGATCTTAGAAAAACCCTCGATAAACCTGCGATAGTAGCCAGCTAGACCGAGAAAACTGCGAACCTCGGGCGGACTCCTCGGTGTCGACCAGTTCTGAACAGCTGAGACCTTAGAAGGATCCACCTCGATACCTGCTTGAGTAATCACATGACCCAGAAAAGATACTCGCTGGAGCCAGAACTCGCATTTGGAGAATTTTGCAAACAACGTTTCTCGTCTGAGGGTTTCGAGAACCACCCTCAGATGCTCCTCGTGCTCCTTCTAGCTCTTCGAATAGATAAGAATATCGTCAATAAAGACAATAACAAACTGATCGAGGTAGGGATGGAAAATACGGTTCATGAGGTCCATGAAAACTGCTGGAGCATTGCTGAGACCAAATGGCATGACGACAAACTCGTAATGGCCGTAACGAGTCCTGAAAGTGGTCTTAGCGATATCTGACTCCTTAATCTTCAGCTGGTGGTAACCTGATCGTAAATCAATCTTTGAGAACACACAGGCTCCCCTCAACTGATCAAATAAGTCGTCGATCATGGGAAGCGGGTACTTGTTCTTGATCGTCAACCGGTTAAGATCCCGGTAGTCGATACACATGCGCATGGATCCGTCCTTCTTCTTAACAAAGAGAACGGGTGCTCCCCAAGGTGACACGCTCAGTCGGATGAAACCGAGTCGTAACAGCTCCTGAATCTGAGTCTTAAGCTCCTGCAACTCCTTTGGCGCCATACGGTACGGGGCTTTGGATACTGGACCGGCTCCTGGAATGAGATCGATAGAGAACTCCACCTGCAGGTTAGGTGGTCCTCCTGGAAGCTCATCTGGGAACACGTCCACAAACTCACGAAAAATTGGAACATCTTGAGGTGATCGTTCTTTCTGAGAATCATCGACAAAGCTCACCAGATAACCCTGGCAGTTGCCTCGTCACAACAACTTAGTGGCTTTCGCCATCGAAACAACATGAGGCAATGAACGATTTCTGGATCCAAAGAAAGTGATCGACTCGTCTCCCGGAAGATAAAGAGTAATCTCCTGGTCATGACATCTGATATCTGCACGATAAAAGGATAGCCAATCCATTCCGAGAATAAGGTCGAAGTCCCTCTTCTCGAGAACAAACGCGTCGGTAGGCAATACTCGGCCACCGATGGAAAGGCTAAGATCTGAAGCTTTAGCTGAGGTCACTATCTTTCGTCTCGAGGCTAAACTCACATCGAGAGGATCGACAGCGGTAACGGCATGAACTCCGATGGCATCAAGGCATCGTCGTGAAATGAAAGAATGTGTCGCTCCAGTATCAAACAAAGCAAACACAGGACCATTATTAAGCACAACCATCCCTGACATAGTACCTGGCTGCTGCTCGGCCTCTGCCTGATCGACTGCATATACTCGGGCCTGCTGTCTTGTAACACCCCGCTCATCAGAGTAAATTTTTCGCAACTTATTTCAAAACATACTTATAACTTTTTCGAAATATTCTTAACTCGGAATGCTACTAAAACTTAACTTCTTTGAAAATCTGTTTTCTTAAACTTGATAAAACAGATTAAACATTTTAAACAAGTGTGAAACTAAACTCATTTATAATAATAAACAGAAACTTTACTTAATTATCAAACTTCAAATCACACAAGTTCAAATTTAATATACATATCGGAAGTCTTTAAGCGTGGCACTTACAAACCGATGCCTTATTGAATTTCACAACCAAACTTTAATAAACTCACAACTGAATGCACAACTGAAAGCACAACCGACACCATAACAGCTTGACTCACACCCTCGGCCCGACCATGTTACCTGAAAATGATAATAGTGGGACGTGAGTACTAGTCAACTGTACTCCGTAAAAACTCATACTAAAGTAAACATTAATAATAATATCAATATCATGATCACAGGTATATATAAGCTTCTCCCGGACTTTTGGTCCGGTAACTTTAACTGAACTTTGCAACTACCGTACTGCCGGTTCTCACGTAATCACATATTGGGGGCTGCCTCCCCAAAACCCAGTCTGGACTGGGCGAGTCTTTAACTTACTTAGGATAGCTTATTAAGGCTACTGCACCTCCACCCCAAGCATAACTTTAACTCATATACATACCTTTGAACATGATCTAGCTATTATACTCAATGTACTACCCAGTCTGGGTTCCCACCTTTTCTTCTTGAAAATTTTTGAAAACTGTAAGTGATGTACTGGTAGCTGTATCTGCAACTACATAAAAATATAAACAAATATACTAAGTACTATGCTCATAGTATTCTCAATAGTACTTTGGGATTCTTAACTTTAACTGATAACTTATCCGAATCTTAAAGATAATTTCGGCTATAGCTCAAATGAACATTAATTCATTGAACATCTTAAATTCTTAAACTTTTACTTAATACCAAACTTAAATCATATGAATCATGATTTTGAAACTTAGATGTTAGTATAAACTCATATACCATGTAATAACTTAAAAGTGAAAATAAACTAAATTCCACATACATAAATTCATGATTCAAACCTCATCTTAAACTTTCTTAGAAATAAAAATGGTAACTTAAAACTCATCAAAACCATATTATAATATCAATATACTATTCTTGAAACAATTAATAGAATTGTCTTCTTAACACATTCAGCTAAAACTCAATCAATACTCACATAAATCATGCCTTATAACTTAGATGTTGGCATGCAAATCTTGTAAGTGAAATAACTCAAATTCACATACATAACTCAACATATTCAACTTACCAACGTCAAACTTAACTCATGATTTATAACAATTAAACTTGCTCATCCTTATAACTCAATCATAACATTAAATTATGATATCAACATGTTCACTCAACATGTTAAAGCTAAACTTGCACAATTTATGAAATTGCATGCTTATCAACATTTTGATGCTAAAATTATCAATTTACTCATCATCAACTGTGAAACTCATACTCTTACACTTAACATGAATAACACATCATATTAAGCTATCAACTTATAACTTTATCAACTTCTCATCATGATAACTCATATCAATAACATGAAATGGATACTATTATGCCAACATAAACTAAATCATTACTCAACTTATAACTCATGCATGATATCAAATACTTAAATGCTAAAAAGAATCACTTATACTAATCATGCTTTGCTAATAACATGATTCAATCATCAAATACAAGCATGAATTACCTCCTTCAAGGGCTTGAAATTTGAAATTTGAAAGACTTGATAGGAACTTGAATTAACTTGAATTATCTTGAAAATCCTTTACTCCAAACATACTTCTCCTTCAAAAATCCTCACTTAACCTCTTAATATAACTTTGATACTTTACTTTGATGTAAAAATCTGATTTTTGAAGCCTCTATTTATAGCTAAAACTTTGGAATAAAATATTTGGAGTGAAGAAATTAACAAATTAAATAATTTAAACTTGTAAAAATTAATCACTTAAACAAGTCCTTACCAAACATTTCAAATTATCAGCTAAGCATATTTAATTGCTCAAAATACACTTTAGTTGGCATCAAACTCGAATCATAAATCTGAAATTTTGTCGGTCACACGACCAGTGTCACAAGTCACACGACCCGTGTGACTTTAAAACTTTAAAATTTTAACTTTTTAAGCCTCAAAATAGCTCAGTCTTGGAAATAAACTGATACTTATTACTAATAACTGAATGGGATATTACATGTCTGCTCCTCTGCTGCTGCTGCTGAGGCTGCCTCTGGGCCTGCTGACGGGGCTGCTGCTGCTGCGGTGGCTGCTGAGGCTGCTGAGGCTGCTGAGGCTGCTGCGCCTTCTTCGGACATCAGTTCGCGAAGTGTCCGGGCTCGTAACAGTAGTAGCATACATTCTGACCAAAGCGACACTCGCCTCGGTGAAGTCGTCTGCATGTCGGGCACTGTGGAATCTGCTGCTGCCTCCTGCGAGTCCTCATATCATTCTGTGCGCCCTTCGCTTTCCTCTTGTTGTTATTCTTTGATGGCTGGGCAACTGGTAAGGCTGGCATCAGTGGAACTGAAGATGACGGAGCAGGGGCGGATGGCTGAGACTGATCACGGACGGCCTCCCTCCTGATACTGGTGTCCACCTCTTGGGCAATGGCAACTGCTCGAGCATACGTCTGTGTTCCATGGCCAACAATATTATGACGGACTGCTGGGTAAAGCCCGTCAATGAAGCCTTGTGCCCTCTGAGCCTCTGTACGAACTAGGTCCGGAACAAAACCTGCAAGTCTGGTGAACTCCCTCTCGTACTCGTCAACAGACCGAGTACCCTGCTGAAGCGATAAGAACTGACGCTCCATCTCTGCTCTGTAGTAGCTGGGGTAGTACATTTCGCGGATCAGCTCCTTAAGCCTATCCCACGTACAACCCTCCTTTTCTCCGGGACGCATGCTCCAGTAGGCATTCCACCAGAGTCGGGCATCACCGGTAAGCTGAAGATGAGCGCAGATTACGCGATATCTATCGGGGCAATCCATGACCTCGAAGATAAACTCCAGGCCCTGAATCCACTTGTCTACGATACGGGGATCTCCTTGCCCGGAGAATTTCTCGGCATGATAGTCGCGGAAGCGACTACTGTGGCCTGAGTAGGAGCCGGATGATCGGGTTCCCTACGAGGCGGCATCTGAACATTGGAAAAGTTCAACATTATTGAACACATGATAATATTCTGACTGATTACTAAAGCACATAAATCTCTTGACGAGTCGCTAAAAATGGCCGATAAATACTGACGTGAAGCCTGAGGAACTCTATAGTCATATTTAAAGGTACTAAATTCTAGAGTCATGTCTGAGTATACTGATGTCTAGAGTTATATCTGAACTCTAAAATCTAAATCTGATTCGAGCATCTTACCTAAGTCTGATTACTGATTTCTGAGCATAGACAAAGTAATATGTTTATAACTGAAAACTGAATCAACACTTACCTGTAGACGGAGAGGCGTGAGCGTGACGGTTCAGGTTTTTCTGAAAGTTACTGACTCAAAACTTTTCAGAGACGCAGAAACGTGCTCTGATACCAATTGTAACATCCCGACTTTTTAATACTATCAGAGTACGCGTTTTTCACAAATTTCTGAATAAATAAATAAAATATTTCTTTTACGAAAACTGATTCGGGATGCTACCGTGAAAAACTTGATTTTTCTGAAAACCGTTAAATTTTAAACTGATAATTGTTATAATGTCTTAACCGACTGATGTCGGACCAAAAGCTGAAAATAAGTACTGATAGTTTTAGCGAAAATAACAGCGTGGCAAAAACATATATACATATATCCACAAATATCCTGAACTGCCCGCCAGCTCACTCCTCGACCCCGACTCTCTGACCTGAAAAACAGCACGAAATATGTGGGGGCGTGAGCACTAAAGCACTGTGCTCCGCAGAAACTCAAACTAAAGTAAAATAGTGAATATAATAACAATATCATGATCAAAGCATATATAACTGAACTGAACTGAAACTGAAACTGATATCTGATACCGGTCTGATCTCGCGACATAAGTCACGTAACTGATAACTGAACATCTGCCGGCAAAAACTAATACCGGACACCATGTGCACACTCTAGTGGGCAGATTAAGGCCACTAGAACCCAAAATTGACCGGCGACCATTCCGAGCGGATACTGAACTGATAATACATACCTCAAACATGGTAGCGTAATTATAAACAATGTAGTACTTAGTCTGAGTCCCCACCTGAACTGCTGAAACTGAATGGTAGTGCTGATGCCTGATCAAACTGAAAATAATATAAACAATTACTACTGACTATGCTCAGACTGATAAATTTACTGATTAAAAATGTTTAAGATGCTCTACTGGACCTGACATGATATTCGGACTTAATCGGTATAACTGAAACCGGTTAAGTACGAAACTGAACTGATATTAACTAACTGAACTGAACTTGACCCGGAAATTTAACTGAAAATAACACTGAAATTATGAACCGGGACTGAAACTGAAAAGTACGGACTGAATCGGTCCAGCCGGTCTGAACCGGTCTGGACCGGACTGCCAGTTCGCTGAACCGGGCAGTTGGGTGCTGTCTCGGCCAGCGGCTTGCCAGGTTCTGCGCACACGGGCGCTGCCTGGCAGCTGCGGGCACGGCTGACTGGCTGACTGGTCGTGCAGACGCGGCCTTGGCGTCCATGGCACGACTATGCGCGCTAGTTGCGTGCGGGCGTGCCACTGGCACGACTGGCACGTCCTGCGGCTTACTGAGCGCGCACTGCTGACGGGTTGGGC